CATTAAGGAACTGTGTCACTCTAAGAAGTCTCAAACTTAGGTGATAGGAAGCCACCAATGGGTTTTGTTTGAAAAGAGTTATATGTTCATATTTGTAATTTAAATAGATTATAATGGCAGGCTGGGTGCAGTGGCTCACACCTATAATCCTAGCACTCTGGGAGGCCAAGGCGGGAAGATTGCTTGAGCTCAGGAGTTCAAAACCAGCCTGAGCAAGAGGAAGACCCCGTCTCTAACAAAAATAGAAAAACTTAGCTGGGCATGGTGGCACATGCCTGCAGTCCCAGCTACCTGGGAGGCTGAGGCAGGAGAATCACGTGAGCCCAGGAGTTTGAGGTTGCTGTGAGCTAGGCTAACACCACGGCACTCTAGCTGGGGCAACAGAGTGAGACTATGTCTCAAAAATAAATAAATAAATAGATGGTAGCTCAAAGAAAATAGATTTAAGTAAAAAAGAACTCTAAAAATGCTTCCTTGGCCAGCCATGGTGGCTCACGTCTGTAATCCTAGCACTCTGGGAGGCTGAGGCGGGCGGATCATTTGAGCTCAGAAGTTCAAGACCAGCCTGAGCAAGAGTGAGACCCCGTCTCTGCTAAAAATGAAAGTAATTAATTGGCCAACTAAAAATATATAGAAAAAAACCAGCCGAGCATGGTGGTACATGCCTATAGTCCCAGCTACTCTGGAGGCTAAGGCAGGAGGATTGCTCGAGGCCAGGAGTTCGAGGTTGCTATGAGCCAGGCTGATGGCACAGCACTCTAGCCAGGGCAACAAGAGTGAGACTCTGTCTCAAAAAAATAAAAATAAAAATGCTTCCTTATCAAAAACAATTGGAAGACTGTTAAGAAGATGTAAGAAGTATTTACTCTGAATGAGAGGCATAGGAGCTCACTAGGTAGGGAGTTACAGTTTGGGTTGCACATTTTGTGAGGATCAAAGCAATATTACCTCTCACACTGGCTAAGGTTCCTCACATCCCTGCTCAATAGTGATGGAAGAGCTCAACTGTACTGTTTCAGAAGTCCTAAATACTGGATAGATTAGCTTTTTCTTTTCAGGTAAATAATCTCAAACCTAACTAAAATTTTTCTTTAAAAGCACCATTGATTTTTTTTTTTTTTTTTGAGACAGAGGTCTCGGCTTTGTGTTCCCAGGCTAGAGTGGAGTGCCGTGGCGTCAGCCTAGCTCACAGCAACCTCAAACTCCTGGGCTCAAGCAATCCTGCTGCTCAGCCTCCGAGTAGCTGGGACTACAGCGCATGCGCCACCATGCCCGGCTAATTTTATATATATATTAGTTGGCCAATTAATTTCTTTCTATTTATATTAGAAACGGGTCTCGCTCTTTGCTCAGGCTGGTTTCGAACTCCTGTACCTCGAGCAATCCACCCGCTCAGCCTCCCAGAGTGCTAGGATTACAGGCGTGAGCCACCGCGCCCGGCTAGCACCATTGATTTTTTAGATGAGTAATTTTGAAATAAAAAATAAGCACCATTAACTATCTCAGTTGTTTAAATTTTTAATTCAAATGAGGACTCGAAAAGCTCTGGTCTATTGATGAGATTAGGTCTTGACCTGATTTTATGTAACAGTATATATAGTAATTATTTATACATATGTTAGCAAAAACATGATTTCAAAGGTTTTCTTAAATCCATAAAGTAGACTAGGGGTAGCAAATTACTTACCATAACCATCTGTCTGTTTTTGTAAATAAAGTTTTATTAGAATATAACTATACCCATTTGTTTACATACTATCTATAGCTGTTTCCATGCTACAATAGCAGAGTTGAGTAGCTGCAACAGAGATTATATGGCCTGCAAAGCCTAAAATATTTACTGGCCTGATATGGTCTGAATGCTTCTGTCCCTGGCAAAATTCATAGGTGTTGAAACCCAACCCCCAATGCAGTAGTATTTAGAAGGTGATTAGGGTCATAAAGGGTTCTGCCCTCTTGTAATGGAATTGAGTGCCATTATAAAAGCAGCAGATAGTCTCTGGGAGGGCTTGGGGGGGGGGATTGCTTCAAGTCAGGAGTTCAAAAAACCAGCCTGAGCAAGAGTGAGATCCTGTCTCTACTATTAGAAAGAAAGAAATTAATTGGCCAACTGATATATATATACAAAATTAGCCGGGCATGGTGGGCTCATGCCTGTAGTCCCAGCTAACTCGGGGAGGCTTGAGGCAGAAGGATCGCTCGAGCCCAGGAGTTTGAGGTTGCTGTGAGCTAGGCTAACGCGTGGCAGCTCACTCTAGCAAAAAACCAGTTTTTACAACTTGGGAACTCTTTCAAATGGTTGTCCTGTCTTATCTGTACCTTCTTCTACATTCCTATTGCTACTGACCAAGTCAGTAGTATTCCAACATCTAATGCATCATGAAAAGATAAATACTTTCTAAAATTTAGGCAACTAGTTGTGGGCTCTAAATGAAGAATTAAGTATTACTAGAAAGGTTATTGAAAAATGAGAATGGGAAACAAGAAATACCTTCATGAACTTAGGTCTATAAGCAATGGCTCAGAGTTAAACCACCAAATCTATTATTTGCAGAGTTAGGCCCATATATTCAAAGCAATTTTTAGAAGATGCATCAATCTGCAGAAAAAGATGATAAAGCTCCCTAGAATATCAGTTGGTCTTAGAAATTACTTAGTAGAATTAGGAAGTACAAGGCATGATGTTGACTACATGGTGATTTTTATAGCCTATCACAGATTCTGGGTCAGTAAAAAGTTAACTGGTTGAGATCTGTATCATCAAGGAAAAAAGCAGAGAGCAGTCAATTTCTCTCTATTGTATACAAATGCAGTCTCAGAGAATCTTTGATAAAGGAATTACATGCAATTAGAATTTGTCCAGAGAATAAGATTTTCTTCACTATTATTTCTCATACCTGAGAGATATGACTAAAATACTGCAAAGCTGTCTCCACAGGGCTTTTGAAGAACATCTTCTCCTGAGGTTTTAGCTATGAAGAGAGTGAGACATGCAGTGAGAAAATCCACAATGGAATGAAATAAAATACTGACAAATATGATACCCTTTCTAATGCACATAGTATTATTTATACCGTGCATAAGAGGAATATCACTACTCCTCTAGGAGATATAGATTATATGTCCAAATTCTCCTTATCTCATGTTTCTATAACAGTAGTCACAAATAATTCATCTGTTGTTTCTCCTTTTTTTTACAACTGCTATCTGTAAATTCATTTCTTTTCTTTTCTTTCTTTCTTTTAAAAAAAATCATCATCTCTACTTTTTATAGACTTCCTAAAGTCCAGGAATGGGATGAGACGCTTTGTGGCAGGAGGAGAAAAACTTACATTATCAGAAAGAGCCAGATGCTTGCAGGCAGTTCCACAAACAGTACATTTTTCTGGGAAGTAAAGGGGAAAAAAATGTTTGGTTCTAAAGGACACGAGGTAAGATTTTCCTTAAAGTATATGGTAATAGTCAAAAGAAGAAGAAAAGGGGCCGGGCGTGGTGGCTCACACCTGTAATCCTAGCTCTCTGGGAGGCCGAGGTGGGCGGACTGCTCAAGGTCAGGAGTTCGAAACCAGCCTGAGCAAGAGCGAGACCCCATCTCTACTATAAATAGAAAGAAATTAATTGGCTAACTAACATATATATAAAATTAGCCAGGCATGGTGGCGCATGCCTGTAGTCCCAGCTACTTGGGAGGCTGAGGCAGGAGGATCGCTTGAGCCCAGGAGTTTGAGGTTGCTGTGAGCTAGGCTGACGCCATGGCACTCACTCTAGCCTAGGTAACAAAGCGGGACTCTGTCTCAAAAAAAAAAAAAAAAAGAAAAGAAAAGGGTTCTTCCTGAATTTAGACTATCATTGTGCTGTAAAAGGACAATTTAAGCTTTTTTCTCTAAACCAGTATTTCCCAACTAGTATGTTTAAGTACATCTTTTAAAATTCCCAGTTTTCTTTTGTGGGTCAGAAGGAACAATTGTAAACTCCCAGTAAGAGTACTGGAGTATATTTATGAAAGTATTGGGAAAAGAATAAGAGTATCAATGATTTTAAGTTACTCTCTTTTATTCTACCTACCTGACAGCAGACACACATTGGGTACTCTAAGAAAATCTCCAGTTATTCCTGCCCTATTGTCACTTTGCCAATATTTCTGGATCTTGCTTTGAAGCTCTCTTACTCTTATTCTCCAATTAAGCCAATATGAAGGAAACAAAAATTAAAATGCCTAATCTTTCTTTGTATAGTGAAATTTTAGTTGGTGCTGATTATTAAGAAAAATGCCATGTCAGGAGAAAACATCACATGGCATATGCTTCAAAAGACAAACCAAGTCAGGCGCGGTGGCTCACGCCTGTAATCCTAGCACTCTGGGAGGCTGAGGCGGGCGGATTGCTCGAGGTCAGGAGTTCAAAACCAGCCTGAGCAAGATCGAGACCCCGTCTCTACTATAAATAGAAAGAAATTAATTGGCCAACTAATATATATATAAAATTAGCCGGGCATGGTGGCGCATGCCTGTAGCAGCAGGATTGCTTGAGCCCAGGAGTTTGAGGTTGCTGTGAGCTAGGCTGACGCCACGGCACTCACTCTAGCCTGGGCAACAAGCAAGACTCTGTCTCAGAAAAAAAAAAAAAAAAAAAGACGAACCACTCCAAAGTGAGCTATTACTATAGTAAACAGGTTTGTTACATTAGCAGATAATTTATAAGGGTCATGGATTTGTACAAAGAAAAAAGCTTCTCCAGAGGCTACTTAAACCTGACTGTTCTTTTCTTGGGGCCAGTGAAAAGGTGTTTCTTGGTCCATACTGTTGCCAGGGTGAGCTAGCAAGTGCAAATCATTCTTCTGTTTCAGAAAAAGACAAAACAAACTTCCACAGCTCTCCATCACCTGAAGATAAAGTTCTTTAACCTGGTATATAGAGCCTTCCATCATCTAGCCACTGCCTACTTCACTATCCTCATCTCTCACCATTTTCTTACCTTGCTCTTTATACTATACCAATCCCAACTATGTGTAGTCCCCTGCACTATAGCTTTATGATGTAATATGTCTTTAGACATGCTGTTCTCTTAATCTAGAATGATCTTCCCTGTCGTATCCACCTGGCAAACTCCAGTTTATTATTCAAAACCCTATTGAAGCAGCATCTCTTTTTTCGGTTGTTGTTTTAATTTTTTTTTTTTTTCTCTTTTCGGACCGCTTGTTGTTTTCAATGTTTTTCTTTTGCTTTTCGAGACCACGAGTCTCACTCTGTTATGCCCACCGCCCGCTACGCACGACCGCTCCCTCGCGCCGTCCGCTAGCTCACAGCAACTCAATCTGGCGCTCACGCAATCCCCTCCTGCCCTTATCTCCTGAGTGCTGGGACTACACGCCCCACTCGCGCCACCCATCGCCCTGGCTCTTTTTATTTACTTTACATTCTACTTCTTCTTTACGACCCCAGCACGTCGCCTCTCTGCTCTCGCCCAGGCTAGACGCGACCTGCCGCGTGGTGCCTCAGCTAGCTCCACGACACCAACGCCCACATCAATCCCTGGGCTCCCAAGCGAGGTCCTACTGCCCGCTCAGCCTCCCACCCAGTAGCCCGACTGCGGCACTAAAGACAACATGTAGCCGATAAGGCGCCAGCCCTAAGTTTTTTGTATAGCCCTATCCCCCCCCCGTGTTTTACGTCTGGCTCACTTAATCTTCTTTCCTGATTGTCTTGCTAGCTCAGAGCGAACCACCCGCGCGTCTCCGCTTAGCCCCCCGCCACCCGCGCGCCTCGGTCTTTCTGAACCTCCTGACCCAGTTCGAGCCCCACTCGCCTCGCTTCGCTCCCGCGCGGACACGCAGTCTAGGATTCACAGGCACTCCACCGCTCGCCCACATACCCGCGCCAGCGCCTACGATTTTTTATTAACATAGCTTTTTAGTAATTGGCACACTTAATCTTCCTTCTCGTTCTCTTCTTTTTGCGCTCGCACCGCCTCTCGCCTTGTGTCGCCCGCGCCAGGCTACAGCGTGACGCTGTCGTAGGCGTCAGCCTAGCCCCCCACAGCGCAAACACCCCTCAGACTCCCCTGGGCATCAAGGCATTCCTACTGGCAGTCAGGCTGCCAGCCAGCTGAGACATACACGCGCCCCAGAATGCCCGCCGCATCGGGCCCAGCTAATTTTGTCTATACTACCCTGTTACGCTCTCGCC